GCCCCCACACTTCCACAGAGGCCCCCACACTTCCACAGATGCGCGCATACCTCATTTCAAAGGAAAGAGGACATGACAGGGGGGGCAATAAGGTAATAAAAAAAAAAACTCCCCTAAATTCACACAAGAGGAACAAGGGAGGGGGGGAATTGCAGGCGGGGGGTTGCAGAACCAGGAGACACGGAGGAAGAGATAATTATATTCTGAACAAAGATAAGCCGGGATATCAGATTAAATAATCACAAGAAGTCAAATAATAAGTACGGAATTAAAGTAGAAGAGGAATCAAGGGCGGAGAAGGCTCTCAAAATTAACCAAACACAACACCCATGGGAAGCGAGCAACACGGCCGCCTTTGTCTTTCCGAGAGGATCTCCACACACAGGCACCAAGCTAGGAAATGACACCCATAAAGGGGGCAATGGCTCAAAGGAAATAAACACGTCTTCGAATAAATAAGCGCATGCGCCGGGTGCTCCCACCGTGGAAACAACCGCCTTTGTCTCCCCACAACACGGACAAACACGCACGCGAAACACACGGACGGACACACACACGGACGCAGATGGTTCAGCCCACAGGAAGGTTTTATGACACAGCCTTTGAACAACTCGGGAAGCCGAGTGGAAGTTTCCGATATAAACCGAAGGAAAATCCATACAACTCAGATCGACAGGGGCTCTGGCCCCCATCACAGATCTCCAGGGCTGTGGCTCCATCTCTCCTCGTCGCCGCCAACGAAGAAGCTCCTGTCATTCAGAATGACGAGGTTTGCGGAGTAGCGACGCGTAGCTACAAGCCGAGGTCTGCACCACCTGAGAAGAATCGCTACCCTGAGTCGCAGAGCTGCGAGTGAAGCCAACAAAGACGCCAACGTCCACCCTGCCACGAACGAAGCATCGCTCCTCGTCAGAGTGACGACCAGCGAACAACCCGCAGGAAAGGCGGAGATCGCTGAACGAGCGCTGACCGTGCGCCACCTTGCGCCACCGTGCGCCACCTTGCGCCACCGTGCGCCACCGTGCGCCTCCGTGCGCCACCGCGCGCCATCGAGCGACAACGAGCGACACGAGCGACCGAGCATCTTCAAGGACAGCATCGTGCCAACTCGTCATCTAGCAGTAGAAAGAGAGAGCGCACGAGCAGCACCAAGCCCCCGGAACCATCAAGCGCCAAGCAAGCAAGTTTCTTCAAGGAACATCGTGCCAACGCCGCTCAATCCAGCAGTGGAGAGAGAGAGAGAGAGCAAAAGCCGAGCGACACGCCGAGCGAGGGAGCAGCAGGAGCTGTTCGTATCCTCCCACACCACACAAGCTAACGACACAATTAATATTACGAGAGGACAACGCACACACAGCACGCACACGAATAAGACTTTCAAAAAGTGATCTTTGCGTTTCAAAAGGGTTGCCATTTCGAGGTGGTGCGTTCAATATCAACTGATCGTGCAAAGCAGTTGCTGCCGTCGAGTTGCATGAATAAGAAATGTTTTAGTCATTTTCGTTAACTGCATAATTTCGCCAATGAAGAAGTATTTTTAGTCATTCAATTTAGTTAATTGCATAATCTTGCCCATGAATTATTGACGCATGTTTAACCTGCATGATAGAATGTCACGTGCTTGTTAGAATAAAATTGTTATCACAGAAGCATATTGAGTGTTCTTTCCAAGTCCATGCAAAACCATCTTATTCATAAGAGCTGTATCCTGCGATGAGATATGAAAATGGAGACCTAAAATATTATAACACACACTAGGATAATCGGTAAATGAATCTATGATAATCGTGTTATCCTGATTGATAACTCTGGATAAACGAAACTAAGCAAATTATCATAACTGCACACATTAACATAATCGCAAGCCTCCGCATAAATTACTACGATTATCATAATTTATGCATATAATCACACGCATTATCATAATTTATGCGTATTAATACACGCATTATCATAATTAATGCGATTTGCGCATTTTTCGGAAAATTATTACTTTTTATTATTTTCATCAAAATTTCATAATCACAACACATACAACAAGCAGCTGAGTCATGCTTTCTTCACACAGAGGGCTCGTTCACACTCACAGCTGCTGAGTCAGGCTTTCTTCACACAGAGGACTCGTTCACACTTACAGCTGCTGAGTCAGCTTTCTTCACACAAAGGGCTCGTTCACACTCACAGCAGCTGAGTCATGCTTTCTTCACACAGAGGGCTCGTTCACACTCACAGCTGCTGAGTCAGGCTTTCTTCACACAGAGGGCTCGTTCACTCTCACAGCTGCTGAGTCAGCTTTCTTCACACAGAGGGCTCGTTCACACTCACAGCAGCTGAGTCATGCTTTCTTCACACAGAGGGCTCGTTCACTCTCACAGCTGCTGAGTCAGGCTTTCTTCACACAGAGGGCTCGTTCACACTCACAGCTGCTGAGTCAGGCTTTCTTCACACAGAGGGCTCGTTCACACTCACAGCTGCTGAGTCAGCTTTCTTCACACAGAGGGCTCGTTCACTCTCACAGCTGCTGAGTCAGACTTTCTTCACACAGAGGGCTCGTTCACACTCACAGCAGCTGAGTCAGACTTTCTTCACACAGAGGGCTCGTTCACACTCACAGCAGCTGAGTCAGCTTTCTTCACACAGAGGGCTCGTTCACACTCACAGCTGCTGAGTCAGCTTTCTTCACACAGAGGGCTCGTTCACACTCACAGCTGCTGAGTCAGACTTTCTTCACACAGAGGGCTCGTTCACACTCACAGCTGCTGAGTCAGACTTTCTTCACACAGAGGGCTCGTTCACACTCACAGCTGAGTCAGCTTTCTTCACACAGAGGGCTCGTTCACACTCATAGCTGCTGAGTCAGGCTTTCTTCACACAGAGGGCTCGTTCACACTCACAGCTGCTGAGTCAGGCTTTCTTCACACAGAGGGCTCGTTCACACTCACAGCTGCTGAGTCAGCTTTCTTCACACAGAGGGCTCGTTCACACTCACATCAGCTGAGTCATGCTTTCTTCACACAGAGGGCTCGTTCACACTCACAGCTGCTGAGTCAGGCTTTCTTCACACAGAGGGCTCGTTCACTCTCACAGCTGCTGAGTCAGGCTTTCTTCACACAGAGGGCTCGTTCACTCTCACAGCTGCTGAGTCAGCTTTCTTCACACAGAGGGCTCGTTCACACTCACAGCAGCTGAGTCATGCTTTCTTCACACAGAGGGCTCGTTCACACTCACAGCTGCTGAGTCAGGCTTTCTTCACACAGAGGACTCGTTCACACTCACAGCTGCTGAGTCAGCTTTCTTCACACAGAGGGCTCGTTCACACTCACAGCAGCTGAGTCATGCTTTCTTCACACAGAGGGCTCGTTCACTCTCACAGCTGCTGAGTCAGGCTTTCTTCACACAGAGGGCTCGTTCACACTCACAGCTGCTGAGTCAGGCTTTCTTCACACAGAGGGCTCGTTCACTCTCACAGCTGCTGAGTCAGCTTTCTTCACACAGAGGGCTCGTTCACACTCACAGCAGCTGAGTCATGCTTTCTTCACACAGAGGGCTCGTTCACTCTCACAGCTGCTGAGTCAGGCTTTCTTCACACAGAGGGCTCGTTCACACTCACAGCTGCTGAGTCAGGCTTTCTTCACACAGAGGGCTCGTTCACACTCACAGCTGCTGAGTCAGCTTTCTTCACACAGAGGGCTCGTTCACTCTCACAGCTGCTGAGTCAGACTTTCTTCACACAGAGGGCTCGTTCACACTCACAGCAGCTGAGTCAGACTTTCTTCACACAGAGGGCTCGTTCACACTCACAGCAGCTGAGTCAGCTTTCTTCACACAGAGGGCTCGTTCACACTCACAGCTGCTGAGTCAGCTTTCTTCACACAGAGGGCTTGTTCACACTCACAGCTGCTGAGTCAGACTTTCTTCACACAGAGGGCTCGTTCACACTCACAGCTGCTGAGTCAGACTTTCTTCACACAGAGGGCTCGTTCACTCTCACAGCAGCTGAGTCAGCTTTCTTCACACAGAGGACTCGTTCACACTCACAGCTGCTGAGTCAGCTTTCTTCACACAGAGGGCTCGTTCACACTCACAGCTGCTGAGTCAGCTTTCTTCACACAGAGGGCTCGTTCACACTCACAGCTGCTGAGTCAGCTTTCTTCACACAGAGGGCTCGTTCACACTCACAGCTGAGTCAGCTTTCTTCACACAGAGAGCTCGTTCACACTCACAGCTGCTGAGTCAGCTTTCTTCACACAGAGGGCTCGTTCACACTCACAGCTGAGTCAGCTTTCTTCACACAGAGGGCTCGTTCACACTCACAGCAGCTGAGTCAGGCTTTCTTCACACAGAGGGCTCGTTCACACTCACAGCTGAGTCAGCTTTCTTCACACAGAGGGCTCGTTCACACTCACAGCAGCTGAGTCAGGCTTTCTTCACACAGAGGGCTCGTTCACACTCACAGCTGCCATATTATTAACATTTTTTCCCTTTATTAATTCTGACCTTACTCCCTCCCTTTGATGCTGCTAATCCTGCATAATGCACGGGCATAATGACTTTAAACCCCTCGCCAAGCCTCCTACGCATTTCACAAGTAGTGCTAATCGCATATCTGCATTTCCCATAAATATGCTAAATTCCTCTTGATATGCAAATTATCTTGTCAAGACGCTCTTCCCCCTCCATCCCAGCTTAAATAGTCACTCCAAGCCTGGAGCGTGACATTCAGACGCTGTCGCCTCGACGGACCTGTTCTCCACCTGAGGACGGCTGCTTGCGTTGTGGCCGAAACGTCGTGAGAATTATTGTATTATGTTTTATTTTTATTATTTTATTACTTCCCTTTCTACGTGATGACTTTACCGAAAGAACCAAGAAGATATTGACAGATGGTAAAGGTCAAACGTGCAGCACTGCAATGTCTCGCTTATGCCGCCGCTGCCGCCCGAAAGACCTCCGCCGAGAGGGAGCTCAAGATGGTGCTTGGCCTACTCTTCCACACGCACCTGAATGTGGCCCACGCTCCACCACGCCCCGCATGAACACATTGTTACCGGATATCGCCAT